TTTTTGCACCCTCAGATTCCAGATTTTCAAATAGTTGTATCTCAGCCAAATATTGTTTGATCCTAACAAACCATACATCAATGGAAAGCTTATTTATTCAGCTTTCAGATAAAAATTGACACTTATGACTGGTTTTGTGCTCCCGGGTCACATCTGCTTTGGTAAATCTAGGTGCATTTCTAAATTCTTTTGTGAACCTTAAGCAAAATTTCAAAAATGTAATAAATGTTTGCTGAATTAAGGAGATTGCAAATACCATTTTCCAAGAGCTTTTGCCAAAACGTAATTTGCATGGTTTTGGATGTTTTATGTACATGCATTTATTTTATCATGTGTTTCAAGCAAATAATTTTTTTTATATTTTGGTAGATAAAGTACTTTTTCGTTTTGCAGCGTGACGTTAAACTTTTTTAAACCTACTTTTATAATTATTAATTTATGCATGACTTTATATTCATTGAAAGAGTACATGCAATATTTTTTTAAAGGTAAAACGGTAAGCAGTTATCGCACAAACTTTTTGTCTATTTTTCCTTGCTTTTTACACAACCATCATTTTCTATAACCCTGTGAATCAAAAAGCCTTCCAGTCTGTCTTGGGAATTTGAAGGGGGGGAAAAAACAAAAGGTGAATAGTCCAAAAGCCTCTCTATTCCTGACAAGGTCACAGTGCTCTCCATTAAAAGCTTACCAGCAGAGCACAGCCTCAACCGTTCCCAAAGACACCTCCAGCTCAGGTGACAAGCTCCTCAAATCCCCTTAAACTGGAGCAAACATGCTTTACAGATACGATGCATTCATGACATGATGCATTGATAAAATGAATGCACGTCTCTTTATTTGCAATTTTAAACCTCTCGATCTAAGGACCATTATAACTCAAGAGCATCTATTTCTGCTCGCTCTGTTGCTCCTGATTGTGGAGGAGTGCACCAGGGGCTCTGGGGTTGTATTGTGTTCTGGGGTCTGTGTTCAGCAGAGCCTCTCTTTGCATGTTCAGGAGTAAAGTGAGCACTATAGCTGGGCTTGTCTTGAATGGTGGAGTGACACCAGCAGGTCAAGGTGGAGTATGACCCTCCTAAAGCAGCCCTTCCTCTCACGTTTCAGATGGCCTTGCCAAACCTCAGTCTATAGCCTATGCTCCAGTCTGAAACATAAGACAAGCTGAATTTTCTTTATGCCTTTTTCAGCTTCATTGATATATATATTCCAGCGGTTCTTGGGTAGGACGAGAGAGAGAGGTGTACAGCAGCTCCAAAAACTATATGAATGTGTTTTTGCTCTCTTTCTTTGCAATAAACGACACTAGCATTGATACCCTGAAAAAAGAGTCGTACTTTATATTAGGTGGCCTTAACTACTATGTACTTGCATTTAAATTTCTACTAACTTCAACTAAAATATAACGTTATTTGAACATATTTTTAATATTCTAAGAATGTTAAAATCTCCAGTGTTCTTGTAGTGATTAGAACGGTATTTAAAGCTTACAATGTTCAAGTACAAATAATATCATAATAACATTTTGAAAATGTTGTTCTCTCAATGTAATAAGAATATTCATCAAGTACAAATACGTGCCGAGAATTTCTCTCAACATTATGAGGACGTATATCAAATATTAATGCAGCTGTAATATAGTTCCATGAACATTGCTTTAAGAATGTTTCATCCTAACATTTTTTATTTGACTTTTAAAAGTGTTCATTAAAGTTGTGGGAACGTTCTCTGTTAGCTGGGTTGTTATAGCTATAGGAATGAGACATTCAGACATCTTTATGTTTGACTTTCTGTGACGCAAGTGTCCACATACACTACCAGTTAAACGCTTTTGAACAGTAAGATTTTTCATGTTTTTAAAGTCTCTTCTGCTCATCAAGCCTGCATTTATTTGAGCCAAAATACAACAAAAACAGTAATATTGTGAAACATTTTAACTATTTAAAAGAACTGCTTTCTATGTGAATATCTGTTAAAGTGTAATTTATTTCTGTGATGCGCAGCTGTATTTTCAGCATCATTACTCCAGTCTTCAGTGTCACATGATCTTCAGAAATCAGTATAATATACTGATGTGCTGCTTGAGAAACATTTATTATTATTATTATTATTAATATCGATATTTAAAACAGTTGAGTACATTTTTTCAGGATTCTTTGATGAATAGAAAGATCCAAAGATCAGCATTTATCTGAAATAAAAAGCTTTTGTAACATTATACACTCTAGCATTCAAAAACTTGGAGTCAGTCTCTGTTTTTTTAGGAAAGACTATATAAATTAATACTTTTATTTATCCAGGATGCTTTAAATTGATCAAAAGTGATGATAAAGACATTTATAATTCTTAGAAGAGAATTATTTAAAAAACATTAAACATCTTGCCGTTAAAAACTTTTGACTGGTAGTGTACTTTATTTGGAGCCATTGTATTTAAGGTTAGTGTCAGTTCACACAGAAAGCATTTTTGTGTTCCACTATGCTGCTTTATAACAGTTTTTCCTATGTAAACAACATGCGCTAGACTGACATCTTTGACCGTTGTGCCACATCTTGCTCATAAGCACCTCACTTTTTAAGACACTGTTTTAAGAAGCCGTTTCTGTGTACGACCCCTAACACATCACACACACGCACGCACGCACTCACTCACTCACACACACATACTCACACACACACACACTCACACACACACTCACACACACACACACACACACACACACACAGAGATAACTAAGCCGGTCATGGTCGCTGGCTGCCAGTAGCCTTCATTTTACCTCAAAAGCAGCTTCATTAGATTAGCCATTTCCCTCCAGAAAACAGCTGAGGCTGAAGTGAGCTCCTGAGATTATCGCTGCTCTTTCGGACAAAAGCTTTTTTGGAGTGATACCAAACAGATTGGAATGAGACTCTGATTTCCTGACTGAGGCTGTTATATTCAGCTGGTCTCAGCGAACGCTCTAGAATCCAGCATCACCCGTCACTAACTATTCCGAGAATGAAAGCGTGAGGAGTTTTGATCCAAGTAATCAGTCTATAAGGTGGTGGTATATCGATGAAAGCTGTGAGCTTGGCACCTGTCCATCCCTTAGTGTGCTATCTAGAGTGACTTGAACAATGATAAGAAGCCTATATCAGAGTCAGAGAGGAAAATTATCTACCCCCTTTTGTGGTCTTGATAAAGATTTTTAGATTTAGAATGCAAGTAAAACTGCTTTTTAAAATATGTTTGTACACAACTGATGATTAAATGATAAAGTGCTCTTTCACAGACTGTACTATGAATCGTGGCCCTTTTCAAGAAACATTTTTCTTGAAACAGTTTTCTAAAAATGTATCATTAAATGATCCCATGAAACTCATATTGTATATTATAAGTGACCTAAAGGCATATATGATGGGGTTTGGTGAAAACAAACTTGCATGTTGTTTATTGCACATGTATGAGAATTGAAAATGGGAACTTTAAAATGGGGTCTTCTTGAAAAAAATAGTTTTTGTCGTGTGGAACATTTTTGTTTTATTTTCATTTTTAAGGTTAGTTTTTGTAATTGGTGTTCAATTCGGCAATTGATGTTGAAAAGACAATCAAACTGACATAAAAATTGACCTCAAAGACCGGTCAAATATGCAAATAAAACTGACATCAAAAACTTGTCATGACATTGATTTGATGTAAATTGAAAGTCAAACATGGCCTACATATACATTAAACCAATTTCAGAGTCAGATTAACTTCCTATTGTCACCCAATTACCACTGGAAGAAATTACTGTCCAAACTGAATTTAAAATGATGTTACAGCATCTTGATCAAGTGTTTGACTAATGTATGAATATCTGAACATGCAATACACCAAAATAAAGAGGAAATCCTATACTTTTAAACAACAACAACAACAACAAAAATCTGTTTTATTGTAGCTTCAAGCATTCTTTTTTAAATCAACACTTGGGTAGGTTTCATAAAAATGCAACATTTTAAGCAAAAAGCTGAGAAATCACATTTTTATCAAATACTACATCTGAATCATATTCAGTATGATGATCAAAGCAAAGATGCAGTAAATGACTTCCATCAGCACTCCCAAAGCTTGCACAGTCCTTTACCTCTTCCTGGATCCACATTTCACTCGGTAGCATTACGCAGTTCTCATTTATATCGGGTTAGCATTACTTTTCATATGCATCTGCTTACATATGAGATCACTCGTTTCTGTGTCTTCCTCGTCTGTGTTTTTGATCGGGACATTCTAGACTCATTCAGGAGAAGCGTAATAGAGCCCCCCGAGTGTATAACAGTGAAAACACGGAAACCCGGAAAATTAAATGTTTGGCGGGGAAAGAG